GCAGAGGCAGAGAGATTTCTGTGAGTTCAAGGCCAGCCTCGTCTATCTAGGGAGCTTCAGGACAGTCAGGGCTACAGAGAGAAACCCTGTCTTAAAAACAAAAAACAAATTGAGTAGATGACACACACAGATTAGACCTAGTAAAAGGAAAAAACAGGGATTTGGAAGTAAGATTTTAGGGAATTACCAAGTGACATAAACTTGGACAATATGGAAAGGGTGTAGGTAATAGTTAATTTCCACCGTTAGCTAGATTGGGTTAAGAAACAACCTGTGGGGGAGTCAGAGGCAGGTAGATATATCTGAGTTCAAGGCCAGCCTGGTCTACAAAGCCAAAGCTACAAAGAGAAACCGTGTTTCAAAACACACACACACACACACACACACAGAGAGAGAGAGAGAGAAAGACCTAGGCCATTAAGAGGAACACCCTGGGATGTGTCAGGATATTTCCAGAGAGGTTGGCCTGAGGAGGGAGGACCCAGCCTGGATCAGGACTAAATTAAAAGGAGGAAGCTAGCTGAGGAGACTGGCTTCCTGTTTCTCCACATCTTCTTGCTGGAATGCATTGTGAGCTCAAACCTTTTCTCTCCTGAGTTATGTTATCAAGTGTTTGGTGACAGTGATGGGAAAAGTAGCTAATGTGGGTATTTCAGTCCATTGCTGCTGCTGTGACAATGCCACGCACTGCACAGCTTATAAGTAGTTGAGGCTGGGGAACCCGAGTGTGGCTCTAACGTTTAGGGGGAGCCCAAGTGCTGTGGAGGGCTCACATGGAAGAGGGGGTTGGGTGGGTGTTTATAACTCCCGTGATAACCAACCCAGTCTCTGATGTGATAGTAATCCTTTCATGAAATAAGGGCCCTCATGTTCTGAGCATCTCTTAAGAGCGAGCCCCCCAACCCACACACCCAACTGCGTTGCATCAAGGATTATATTTCCAATACAAGTCTGGGTGTGGTGACATACAACTGTAATCCGAGGAGGCTGAGATAGGGGGATCACAAATTTGAGGCTGGCCAGGGCTGAAGAACACGATTGCATCATGTTCAAGATAAAACAAAACAAAACAAAAAAACCCAAAGGAATAAAGCCCAAACAACATTTGTAGCATTTGAATCCTGAAACAGTAATAAACCTGACATTATGGTTTGTGTGTGGCGTGTCCCTGTGAGTTCATGTGCTGGAATGCTGTTCTGCCCTGGTTGCGCTGTGTCACGGGTTCTGGAGCCTTCTCCAGTCAGGGCTTAGCTGACAGAAGTGGATCGCTGCAGGTGAGTGAGCAAGTGGCCTCACGCTCCTGCCCCTGCCACAGGAGGCCTCACGCTCCTGTCCCTGCTGCAGGCCTCCTTGTAGACTTCCTCCCTTCAAACGATGAGCCAAATAAATCCTGGAAAAGGCAGCTAATATTCCTGGTCGCAAGACCCCATATAAGAGCGGAAAAGCAGTCTAAGCCACAAGTAATGTTTTAGAGATGTATACAGATGGCAAAAATACTGAATACTGAGTGCAATGCGTTAGCGTTTTATTCCCATGAGGATCACATATTAATGAAAGTTGAAGGCGATGGAGCCAGCAGTCACTTCTGGGGAGAGATTGGAAGGCTGAAGAGCGCAGGCTCATAACCTACGCACTTCAAAGACCAACTGCTTAGCTAGAGTAGAAGTGAACTTTAGCTTCCAGGTCGGAAGTGGCGACATGCGGTATGTTAAAAGGTAATCCATGTTGCTCCGCGGTAGAGCAAGCGATCAGCTTGCAGGAAGTGCTGTTTGATCGCCAGAACTGCAAGGGAAACAACAAATGGAGATGGGAATAGAGAAAAGAGAAACCCAATCATGGATTCATTAGGACTCATGTCTGATTTTAAGAAAGCATTAGATTGAACTGTAGAAAATAAAAGTGGGCAGAAAGCTTTAAAGTTGGAAGGAAAAAATAAATTGGAAAAAACACCACGGATGTTCTAGACATGTTAGCACCAGGTAGACACGCTTCCCCTCCCCCGTCCCAGACAGGGTCTCTGTGTAGCTCTGGCTGTCCTGGAACTAGCTCTGTAGACAAGGCTGGCCTCCAGACGGCCTTTGCCTCCTGCTGCTGGAGTGCTGGGATGCAGGCTGCGCACCGCCACCTCCCCGCTCAGTTGCGCTGACATCGTGAGGAACAGAGGTGGTTGCTGTGCAGCGGCACACACATCCCTCCTGAGAACAGAGGCCTCCCCAGCATGAGGAAAAGCTACCCGACTGAGGCCTAGGAGGAGGGATGGGCAGGTGTCCCCAGGGCAGCATGGACGAGGTCCTAACTCGGTGGGCTGTGCTGAGAAACTGGCTGAGCTATTTTGAAGAAGGATCCGGCAGTACGTGCCCATCCAAAGTTTCACAGACCACGTTTCCAGGATGAGAGGAAAGCCCCACAGAGGTTAAGAAGCTTTCTGATGGCTTTGCTTACGTCACAGTGTGTATGACCTGAGGTCCAGCAGGTGAATGGCCTGACTTCACACTGGGCAGTCCCTAGGCTCCAAAGCATGGGGTTTCAGGGATCGACCTGCAGAGAGCCTGTGTACCTCTGGTTCAGTTCTGTCACCTGTGAGGTGGCCTGCTCAGGGTTCTCACACTTCATATGGTAGTGCATGGGGTATGGCCTGAGCCAGCTAAGTGCCTAGTAGGTGTCTGTCAGTCTGGAGGACAAAAGTACAGAAGAGGCCAAGAAGCAAAATTAAACAGTTGGGTTCTCTAGAGTAAGGATTACTCTAGAGTAATTTTTCTTTTTTTTCTTTTTTTTTTTCTTTTTATTTTATGGGCACTTGTGTTTTGCCTGTGTGTGTGTGTGTGTGTGTGTGTGTGTGTGTGTGTGTGTGTGTGTGCAGTGCCTGTGGAAGAGGGCATCAGATCCCCTGGAACTGGAGTTACACCCTGTGGAACCAAAGCTACTTGTCTGCAACCCCCAGGATGAAGGATGCTGAGACGAACAGTAGGGCCTTGTTGGGTTCCTTCCTCCCCAGAATCTGCCGTCGCAGGCGTGGTGCTGTGTGTGTGTCTCCTCATGCCCCAGCCTGGTCCACCTCTCTCCTAGGTTCCCCATTCCTAGCCGCCCTGGCTGTGGCCCCCAGGGACTGGTGGAGATGGATCAGTGCCCGTTAGGGTGGATGAGCAGGCTAGTTGGGGAGGTTCCTGACCTGGCTGCTGGGCCGTGGGCTGTGGGCAGGAGGCCTTCATCTATTAAAAGGCTAGGTGGCCTTGTGGCTGGAATTTTGCCATGGGCTATAAATAGCCGGTGTGAGAGTGTGAAGAGATGGAGCCAGGCAGGAGAGAGGATCTCCAGCTGGCAGTAGCCTGGGTGCGGTGTGGGAGGGGTGTGGAATGTCACATGGGATGCAAAGCTTGCAGGCAGGCTCGGCGTGAGGCCTGGACCAGAAGAATGGCCGCCCACCTCCGAGGCAGGTGCTGTCAATCACCTCAGAGTGGTCAGGTGGCGTGCCCCAGGCACAGCGCTGTGAGGTATCTGCAGGGTTCCCTGGTGGCAGGTCTGGTCAGAGCTCTGGTGACATCCAGAGTCTGTGGGTCCTACCTGGGGCCTTCCATGGGCTTTTCAGGCTTCTAGCCTGGGGGCCCCATGGTTGTGCGGGAGGGGCTCCTGCCTGACAGTGGCCAACCTGAGGCCTGCTCGGTGTGTGTTGTCCCCCTTGTGACTCCTGCCCCTGAACAAGGGGCTGTCTGGTGTCCCCTGAGCTGGAAGTGTGGGGCAGAGGTAGAGCCGAGCATCCTGGAAGCCCCAGGTTCCCTCCTCAGCGTCTATGGCAGGAGTATGTTGATGCCATGCCTCCTTCCTGTCCCTTTCAAAATCTTTCTCGAACCATATACCCACAGCACTCTGTCTGTAGGAATTCATGCCCAGCCCCCAACAGGTCGGGGTGGGCTTTCCGGGCTTGTGTGTGTGGCCGGGGGTAGGATGGGGCTGGGCATCCAGGAAACAGTGGATGAGGACACGTAGCTGTTTACTTCTCGTGCTCACCGTGCCCATGCTGTCACCGCCTCCTCGGGGTTCTTGGGTTATCTTTCTCATACACCTTTTGGAAGTGTCAGGTGCTCCCTGTTAACATAGCTGCTGCTATGCTTCGGACTCCAGGAAGGGGCGAAGCAGCTGTGTACTCCCGGGACTGGGGCTTCTCTTAGCTCAACTACCAGTTACCGCCACAAGTAGCCAGGGCCATGTGGGCGCGACAGACGCCACCCTGGCTCCTGAGGCTTGCTTTGTTCTGAGGCCTGCACACTTCCCTCGGAGTCTCACCTGCAAATCCCTATGCTTGAACAAGGTTATGGCTGGGGGACACGTGCGCATCTGTGAGGCCTGATCGACAAAAGCTGGTGCACAGCTCTCTTTGAGCCCTGCTCTGGATCCCGAGACCCTTCTGGGTCAGGCGGAGCCACAGCCACCTGACAGGTTGTCACCACAAGTGTCAGGGTCTAGGCCAACATAGCCCTGGCTGGCCAGAGCTGAGGCTGGGTTCTGCCATTCTGAGGGGTTAACATTTTGAACATGTGAGTTCTACCTGGAGCCTTGAGATTGGCTGCTTGCCCAAGGTTGGGACTCCCTGGAAGGAGCCTCCTGCTATGGTGAGGAGTTGTTTAGAGGCTCCGATCTGCTGTAGTGGAGTCCCTCTCCCCGGACAGCCCGGCAGGATCCATCAGTTTACACCAGAGAAGAGTGTAGTGATAGAATTCAGCACCCTGCCAGCCTCGGGTCAGGTGGGAGCCCCCTCCCTGAAGCCCCACTGGTCTTTCAGTTGGCTTACTGGAGAAAGCTGGGGTGCTGGTTTCCTTTAGGGTATCTGCATAGGGCTCCAGCAGTGAGATAGTAAATGCCACACCCCCTCTTGGGGATGTCCCATGGGGGAACAAGACTTGTGTACTACTTCCCGTCTTATATCCAAAGGTTCGTGGGGTCATTGTGGACAAAATGTTACAGGTCTGTGGGCTGCGCTCAGCCTCTCTCCTCTCCCGCCACAGGTTCCGGGCGCGGGGAGGCCGAGACTCGGGAGTGCATCTACTACAACGCCAACTGGGAACTGGAGCGCACCAACCAGAGCGGCCTGGAGCGCTGCGAGGGCGAACAGGACAAGCGGCTGCACTGCTACGCCTCCTGGCGCAACAGCTCCGGTACCATAGAGCTGGTGAAGAAGGGCTGTTGGCTGGATGACTTTAATTGCTACGACAGGTACACTGCGGGGGTCCCCTCTCCGGGGCTTGATGTCAGGATGCCTTCTGAGGCCCCGCCCAGGAGCCCAAGCGCGCCTCCCCCACCTCCACCCCCTTCTGCTGTTTGCTCTCCTCTGCAGCAGGCAGCATTTCTGTGCCTGGCTGTCCCTCTCAGCCTTGGGTCACTCCTCAGGGGAAATGGACGCAGCCTACCTGCCTATAAGCCCGGAGTTGCTCTGTTTGTGGGGAGGGGTCTGGGGAAAGGCTTGCTGTCCCTGCCCCGGAGTTTGTAACTGGGACCTGGGCCTTCAGGCAGGAGTGTGTGGCCACCGAGGAGAACCCTCAGGTGTACTTCTGCTGCTGTGAAGGCAACTTCTGCAACGAGCGCTTCACTCATTTGCCGGAGCCTGGGGGCCCAGAAGGTGAGGGGCTAGTGGGAAGAGGGGTGTCAGTGTGCCACTCTGGAGCCAGTTGGGAGGGTGGCTGGAGTGTTGGAGTGGGCGGGCTGTGTGACACAGGGCTCCATGTGTCCCCCAGTCACGTACGAGCCACCCCCGACAGCCCCCACCCTGCTCACGGTGCTGGCCTATTCGCTGCTGCCCATTGGGGGCCTCTCTCTCATCGTGCTGCTGGCCTTCTGGATGTATCGACATCGCAAGCCTCCCTACGGCCACGTGGACATCCATGAGGTGCGATGGTGCCAGCGAGGGGTGGGGCGGGGAGCAAGGAAGGGTGGCCTCGAAGACTCCTTTACACCCTTGTTCTCCCAGGACCCTGGGCCTCCACCTCCATCCCCTCTGGTGGGCCTGAAGCCGCTCCAGCTGCTGGAGATCAAGGCTCGAGGCCGCTTTGGCTGCGTTTGGAAGGCTCAGCTCATGAATGACTTTGTCGCTGTGAAGATCTTCCCACTGCAGGTGAGCTCCTGGGGGTCTCCCGGCAGTGCTCTCTCTGTGGTCCAAGTGGGAGTCTCTCCCCACAGCGCGGTCCAAGCTCTCACTTCAGCAGTGAGGGTGCCCCAGAGGGCTAGGCTCAGGGTCGGCCAGACTTTCGGATTTTGCCGTTACTTCTGCACTGTGCGTGCAGTTTACACGTTTTCTGTTTGCACAGGTCTGTGTGTGGCGGCCAGAGACTGACAATGAGTATTTTCCTTTATGTACTCCCCCACCCCCCTTTTTCAGTATATAGTCCAGGCTGGCCTTGAACCCACAGAGGTCCACCTGCTCCTACCTCCCACGTGCTGGAATTAAAGGCATGTACCACTATGCCTGGCTGTCTACTTTTTACAATTTTTTTGTCCTTATTTATTTTTAATAAAACTATTTTTATGTGTATGGGTTTTTTGCCTCCATGCATCTGTGTGTGCCGAGTGCATGCCTGGTGCCTGCAGAGGCCAGAAGAGAGTGTTGGACCCCTGGACTGGAGTGACAGATGGTTGTGAGCTGCAGTGTGTGTGCTGGGAATTGAACCTGGGTGCTTAGGAAGAGCAGCAGACAGCATTCTTAACCTCAGAGCCACCTCTCCAGCCTTCTAATTTTTCAACTTTTTTCGAGACAAGATCTCTCACCGAGCTGGAAACTCACTGATTGGATAGACTAGTTGGCAAGCAAGTGCCAGGGACCCTCCGTCTCCAAGCTCCCTGCTTCCAGCGGCAGGGCTCCGCTGGACTCTTTGAGTAGGTGCTGGGAGTCAGCACTGGCTTCCTCATGCTTGCCTGGCAGCCCGTTACCTAGTGAGCATCCCCTCAGCCCTCGAGTGAGGCATTTGACATCATGATCTCCTGGGGGGTTTCCGACACCAGGCAACACACAGGTACTTGGTGAATCAGGCAGCTGATACTGGGCGCCTCCCTCAGCATTTGTAAATTGGGACGCTGCTGCCAGCTACCTCAGAGACTGCTGCTGCCCCAGTTCCCCAGATGCATCCTCCAGATGCCGATGCTGTGAGGCCAGGGTTGAGGATGCAGTGTGTATGTGTGTGTGTGTGTGTGTGTGTGTGTGTGTCCGTGGGCCTCTGACTGGGGCTGGGCTGCTTCCTTGCCTCAGGACAAGCAGTCTTGGCAGAGCGAACGGGAGATCTTCAGCACGCCCGGCATGAGGCACGAGAACCTGTTGCAGTTCATTGCCGCTGAGAAGCGAGGCTCCAGCCTGGAGGTGGAGCTGTGGCTGATCACAGCCTTCCATGACAAGGTGAGCGGAGCCCCGGGAAGGCGGCTTTGTGATGAGGCGACCCCCTGAGCAGGTGCCCCTCTCTCCCTGGATCACTTTTATGGCAAGGGTTGCTGTTCCGCCCGCTGCGCGTTTGCATTGAGATGTTCTTCAAGAGGCCCAGGGTTGCCTCCTGTCCTGCATGTGGAGCCTCTGCCCACAGTCTGTGCTGCCTTCTCCTAGGGCTCCCTCACGGATTACCTCAAGGGGAATATCATCACGTGGAATGAACTGTGTCATGTGGCAGAGACGATGTCACGAGGCCTCTCGTACCTGCATGAGGATGTGCCCTGGTGCCGTGGCGAGGGCCACAAGCCGTCCATCGCCCACAGGTACCTGGGGGCTTGGGAGCGCTCCCTGCACGCATGGGTGAGGATGCAGGGAGGGCTGGCGCTGGAGCAGAGGGCCTCTGCTTCCTTGAATGTGTCCTTGTGTCAGCAAACCTGGCCTTCCTGTGTGCTGGCGTGAGTTGGCTTTCTAGGTTGGTGTTCTTATGCCCTCTGCTGGGCACATGAAGGGCTGTCACTTTGGAGAGCTGGCTCTTCAAGTTCTCTGATTTTGGTTAAGAATGTTTTGTATCCTTAGAAGGACTGTGTTTACCTAATCTGTAGGTTATGTTTGCTGATGCTTGCTGGTACAGATCACATGTGTTTTTATGTATCATGACAGCATTAGCTGTCCGTTATTTCCTGGGGAACTCCCCTCTATTCTCCTGATGAGCTTAAAAAAAGGTAAATGATAGATTTTTACAAAAGTGTCTTGACTTAACGGGGCTCTGGACCTTTTAGGATCTCTGAGTCCTATTTCTGTTGATCTGTTTGTTTTAGTTTTGGCTTTTCTAGTCCAGGTAGAGTTGAGTGCCTGTACCCACTCCTGTGTCTGCCACTGTAGCAAGCTGATTCTCAATTCTTGTTCATATTCCAAACATGGTAAACTTCTAGGAAAGACTGAGGATTATGGGCTGGCTTTTAGTCCTGTGGTGCGGGTCTGGCCAGCGCCGGGGTAGGACCTGGGACTGGATCTTGATGCTGTGCGCATCAGTTTCACTCCTGCTCTCCACAGGGACTTCAAAAGCAAGAATGTACTGCTGAAGAGTGACCTCACCGCTGTGCTGGCTGACTTTGGCCTGGCAGTTCGGTTTGAGCCAGGGAAGCCTCCAGGGGACACCCATGGACAGGTAAGGAGCCTGGGGCTTAGCTGGAGTGACCATAGAGCTACCTGTAGACTTAGAGAACCAGGCTCTTGTCTCAGCACCAGAGAAGACAAGGCCTGGAGGCTGGTTTCCAGCCAGTCAGCTGAGCAGTCCAGGCTCTCCTCAAAGCCACTCCTCCTTGCATTTCAGTCTTTCTCTTTCTGTGCGTGTGTGTGTGTGTGTGTGTGTGTGTGTGTGTGTGTGTCTGGTCTCTGGATAGCCTGTCCTTCTTTGTCTTCATGTAGGTCGGCACCAGACGGTACATGGCCCCCGAGGTGCTGGAGGGGGCCATCAACTTCCAGAGGGACGCCTTCCTGCGCATCGACATGTATGCCATGGGGCTGGTGCTATGGGAGCTGGTGTCTCGGTGCAAGGCTGCGGATGGTGAGTGGGTCGGCAGTCCCGGGCAGCCTGGGTTGGGGCCGGGGGCTGGGCCTTGGTGATGCCATCAGCCCCTCGCCTCTCAGGGCCTGTGGATGAGTACATGCTGCCCTTTGAGGAGGAGATTGGACAACACCCTTCCCTGGAGGAGCTGCAGGAGGTGGTTGTCCACAAGAAGATGAGGCCCACCATTAAGGATCACTGGCTGAAGCACCCGGTGAGGGAGCTGGGCTCAGGACACTGCAGGGGTGGGTGAGGGGCCTGCCTTGTATGGCAGGAGCCTAGGATCAAGGAGGGGAAGGCCGCCATCTTCCCTGGACTCAAAGGAGATGTCCCAGAGGTTGTGGGAATAAGGTAGGCCCTGACCTCCTTGTACCCACCTTGGCTCAACTGCTGATGACTGGGCAGAGCTTTGGGCTTTGTGTAACGTCTGCCTTGAGTCCCAGTGCTCCAAGGTGAGCAGGTACATCTGCCTGCAGGGAGGGCTGAAGCGTAGTGAACATTTCCCTGGGGCTCTGAGGGAGGCCAACACTGAGAGACTTGGTGGGGTGACCAAGGGAGCGCTGGAGTGCGGTTGCAGGGTCTAGGGTGCAGGAGTCGGGGGGCCAGGAGTCAGAGCTGCCTCTTGCAGCCTGCTGATTTACCTGCAGTGGCTGTGATGGACTGTAGGCTCTGCCCGACCCTCTGACACACCAGCACTTGCTGCCCTGAGGAACCCTAACAAGGGCTCTTCCTCCCTTCTGCTGCTCTGCAGGGCCTGGCCCAGCTCTGTGTGACCATTGAGGAGTGCTGGGACCACGATGCAGAGGCTCGCCTTTCTGCGGGATGCGTGGAGGAGCGGGTGTCCCTGATCAGGAGGTCGGTCAACGGCACTACCTCGGACTGTCTAGTCTCTCTGGTGACCTCCGTCACCAACGTGGACCTGCTCCCTAAAGAGTCCAGCATCTGAGCCCAGGACACAGTGTCTCTCCAGACTCAGTGGATCTGAAGAAAAAAGGAAAAAAGTTGTGTTTTGTTTTGGAAACCCCATAAAACCAACAAACACATAAAATGCAGCTGCTATTTTACCTTGACTTTTATTATTATTATAATTATTATAATTATTATTAATAATATTATTTTTGGATTGGATCAGTTTTTACCAGCATATTGTTCTACTGTATCGCAAACAGCGGACATGTCAGCAGGCGTTGAGGTGCTGAGCTGTGAACGCAGAACCAGCGCCATGCTGAAGAGCCTCAGCCACCTCCTGCCCTCCGGGATTCATTTCCTCTTTGTCGTCTCAGAATCTGTCACACAAAGAAACCCATCTCCTGTCTTAGGAAACTCAATGCTGCAATTCTCTACTAGAGGAACCTTTGAAGACTGTTACATGAACATACCCTTCCTCAGAAGAGGGTTTCCCCCACCCCTTTATTTTGCATTTCTCCCTTTTCAGGCAGTGAGCTGAAGAAATGGTGGACCTGTCTTCGTGGGTCTCACGGGTGTCATCCTGACCTGACTGAGGGAACTCAGATGAGGACGGTTTAGACTGACGGTGGAAGGGAGGATGGGTCTGGGTAGGGTGCAGAGCAGAGCTACACTGGACTTGGGCACATTTGGAGCAGCACCCTTGGCTATGAAGGCTACTTTCTCAGGTAACAAGGGATCGAGGGCAAGGACCTGGTGGAGGCCCAACAGTAATGCTAGCGAGCACAGGGTTTGGAGGGGGTTGGGGAGCCAGGCCAGGCTGCCCCTCCTGCCCAGTTTCTTCCCACTGACTGGGGCGTGCCCGTAGGAGGAGACACTACCTTGCTCATGTGTTAGGACTAGGTGAGGGAGTGACAGTTTTGTAGACATTCTTCATTAGACATGATGCTGTAGATGTCTTTTGTGGAGGAAATGCCAAGCTGCATTGTCCTCTTGGCAGTTTGGGGAGGTGCCTGTGGCACAGCGTGGGCGGGCCAGAGGACCCCTGGTTGGGGACCTCTCTGGCCTGCAGCTCTGGCCTGGCCCCATGCAGTGGCATCACCAACTTCTTTTCTGAGTCTCGCGGACACGGCTTTCTCCAGACCCTTTAAAGTGGTGCATATTATAAAACTGTTTCTATTACGCCATAACCTTGCTCCAGGCGGTGAATGTTCCTAATGCTGCTGTTTCAACAAAGGAATTTTTTTTTCTTTTTAATTTATGAAACACACTAAATTTTTTTTCCAGACAGAACACACACATCCATATATATATATACACACACATGCTTTGCTGTGTGGCTTCCGAGATTTAGATTTTAAAAAGTAAAAGAAGTAACTTCACGACCACAGACCACCTCAAACCAGAAATACCTCAGAATTTTCTACTTGTGTATGTTTTATTAATTATATATTTTGTTAGTTGTGTTGTCTTGTAGGAAGTATATTTTAATGTAAGTTGGGTTTTATGACAAGGAAGTTTAAAGAAATAGAGAAAAAGAAAAAAAGTTTGTGTCTTCTAGTCAGTCCTACCATTTTTGTTTGGTAAAAGTTCCCATGTAAATATTTGTCATCAGCTGTAGGTCGGCTGTCTGGGCCCTGGTCATTCATCACTCTGGTTTAGACTGTATTGCTTAAACAGCACATCTCTTGATCTTGAGGGTAGGCCACTTCCTCCCGGATTGCTTAGAGGTCAGGTGTTGTCCCGTGGGTCTGCTGGGTAGTACTCAGAATGATACCCCCACTTTGACCTGGCAGTACTATGGTCCTCAGACCCATGCTAGGTAACTTTACTTGAGATTGAATTCCTTCGGCAGCAGGTGAGTTCCATCACCATGCTGTGACATCTGGGAGAGTACAGCTCACAGCTGCTCCCCTTGGCATGCTGTGTGTGGTGCCCGGGGCAGCCCTGGGGCTTGCTCTTTTCTGTGGGTATTTGTATGCAGGGTGTTGGGGAAGGCAGCTGGCTTCCCTCTCAGACCTTAGTCCTTTTTTCCATGGTCAGTGTGAGCTGGCCAAATAGTTAGAAGACATGTCCTCTGTGTCTGTAAGCTCTGTGTCCTTTCCTCCCCCATTTGATTTTGTGCTGTGGTATTTTCTTCTCTCACAGTACTTCTCACTGCAAAACAAATCTTACAGCAGTTGCTTTTCTTTTCCACTTATTTCTTTAAGAAGCTTTAACTATTTATTGAGAAGTGCCATATCTACTTTCTTTAGCTTTTTCCTCAGGCAGTGGGGACACCTCTACTTTTGACCCTTAACCAACCAACCACTAGGAAATGTAGCTGCTTCGCTGCAGGAGTGATCCAGTCACCAGTCACATGCTGTGCCAAACACTAAACTGAGCTTTCCTGTGTGGGCTTGCCACCCTGAGTGGTTTTCCTCTTGTGTGCTGAGCTCCGGTATGGGCCATCCAGTCAGGTCACACTGCAAGCTGGGCAGGCCAGGCACCTTTTCTGGTGGTGGCTTCCTTCTTTGCTGCCCTATGTACAGCCACAGTGGTGACCTTGTCAGACCTTCTGGTCAGAATGGAGTGTCAAGAGGTGATACTGTTTGCTGTGGCCAGGCAGAGGGAGAGTCTGGGTGGTGAGGTTGTGGACTGCCTCTTGACTTCAGGTAACACACCCAGCTGCAAGGTGGTGACATCCCAGGGTATGGCCTGGAAATGTGGGTGGGCCTTATTCTTTTTTTTGTTTTGTTTCACCTTGTGCCCCCTTGAGTCCTGGGACCTCTGCCTTGCATTTTCCTGCAGATTTCTTGTCACTTTCTTTCTATTCCCCTCACCCCTGAAGACGGTTGTCCCTGTGGATGGAAAAGGATGAGATAAGTCAGGGGAGAGAAATACCTTGAGGTGCTGTCTCCTTCCTTTACTGCATGTTGTTGTGGTCTAAACAGGCTCCTGTGGCAATGGGCCTTGGCAGAGAATGTTCTGGTTAAAAATACCTGTGATACCTCTGTTGTCAGAGTTTTCTGTTAATAAGTCAGAGAAGGGGATGGTGAGGAAGGCTGTGAACAGTCAGTAGCATGTGGGCTAACGTGGGCTGGCCTGGTATGAAGGAAAGTGCTGGGCCTTCTACTTCACACCCACAGCCAAGGGCAGACCTTTTCCTCATCACTGGGCTACCAGGCTTGCTGGGCTGGCCTTCCTGACAAGGCTTGAGCTTCTATGACAGTGTGTGGCCCTTTCAGTCTGCCCTGTCCTCCCTCCCTGGAGCTGGGCAAGACCTTCTCTGTCTTGCTACTCTGTCCTAGGGCTTGGGCTGTGGGAAGGATTTTTCTTGGTGGCCGGCCTACATATATATTTAATTGTCGTTGTTGGGCTCAGAAAGCTTGTGGAGTGGTGGTTCCTACACTCAGCCACTGAGGCAAAGTGACTCTCCCTAACAGAGGTAGAAGGCTGGCTGGCTCTCACATGGAATTTTACCTTTTTAGTGTGTGAGGTCCCTGGTGCAAACTGGTGAACAGGAGAATGTCCTGTTTGTTTTCCCTAAATAGTGAATACAGTAAAAGCTTACTGTACTGTAAGCTCAATCTCTGCCGTTGCCCTCAAGAACTTGGATCATTAGTTGCAACCCAGAATCAGAAAGCAGTTTCCGGTTTACCCAGCTTGAGCTTCAGCACCAGCTGTTCCATCCTTCTGGGCTTTTGGTGACACATTGACACATTGGTCCGAATTTTAGGAGCAGTAGATGACACCTTTCCCGGAAGTGTGGTGTACCCATCCGCTCACCAACTGGGAAACAGCCAGAAAGGGTTCATGTCAAGGTGTCGCTTTCTCTGAGCTTGGGTGACTGGAATGCTCCTTCATCCCTGGCTGTTTGTAAAGGTTAAATGGAGAAGTACCAGCAGCTGCCTTCCTTGGTCTGGTCATGAGTTTAAATTACAGCTAACATTGTTTTAGATCATCTACCGAGCACTTCCTGGTCTGGATGCCAATCTTCTATGTATTAAACACTAAACACCTAGCTCTTCATGCGTGGCTCTGGGGAGCTGACTTGTAGGCAGTAGTCCTCCTGTGACTGTCTCCAGACCTTGAGGAGGTTTAGGAAAATGTTTTGAGATTCTGATTTAGTTTTATAGGAAGATGATGTTTAAAACACCCCCTTGAGAATCAACTAATTGATTCAACCACATTAAAAAGAAAACATTCAAAAGACCCATAAACTATCAATAAATAAGCCCAAGTTCTTTGGTGGGCTATTTGGGATATTGCTACTTGGACCTAGTTGTAATTACTATAAATTACTCTCAGACTGACAATTTGAATTGAGATCAGGAATGTCTACATCTTCCCCCCCCCCAAACCAAATCGTAGCATTTTCATGCTGGCATCTCCCAGTGTGAAGGAAGCCAGACTGAATTTGTGGTACTCTGTGAATCTCCTTAGTGCCCTGATACCTGGCAGCACCTGGCGATGATTTCCCTCAAGAGTTAAGATTCCTGTTCCCCAAATGCCAGTGTGGGCCGGTAGGCACTGCGCTAGCCTAGTTCTCCAGTGTGTCGGCTGTCCAGGCTGAGCGGTGTGAGCAGCCGTACTGGTGCATGTGGTATGCCATTCAGACCCATACTGCCCAGGGTGCTCTGGACACGTTGTGAGCGCTGACACGTTCTTTTTCAGACTTTGTTTCCAAGTTTACAGTTGGAAGAAGTGTGACCCATTAGGTTTTTTTTGGCAAGTGAAGGTGAGTTTTCGTGAATGAGCAAATGCTGCCTCCAGTCCGGGAGCACCCGCCTTCGCTGCCCGGACCATTCCCTTATCCTGATCAGTGTTGTTAGATAGCGTTGTAAATACAAAGAGTAGGGTACGTACAGACCCACTTGAAATTCTACTTTAAGAAGTCTATAGCTCCACACATATATTTAGTTATATCTCTTGACAGATTGTGTCCACACAGTGTGGAGATTCTTTTATACCGCAGATTATTTTTATAAACTAGTGAGTTGGAGTGAGAATGCGTCTTAATCCAAGCCAATGAGCTTTCCTTTCAGGATTATGTGCACACTGGAGCGGGTGCTGGGAGCTTATCGCCTGCATGGGTTCCTGAACATGGTGGCAGCCCGGAGTCGGCTTGCAGGTCCCTCTGGCCCAAGCTCCACTGGCAGGGCAGTGATGT